ATTTTTGTACAAGCTCCAAAATCGCTTTTTTTATTTAAGTTTGTATTAAGAATATTATCAATATCATACTGTTTTCAAGCACTACAACTATTAATGAATAAATGAATATTTTAGTTATTTTAATATTTAATATTTGTTTTGTCTGATGCCTTGGTAGGATTCCCCACTCGACCATTCACTGTTGGGTTCTAATTAACAGTGCTGTCCCTAAAGTGGCGCTGGGAAACAGTAACAAAGCCTACACAGAACACGAGGCGAAATAAAATAAAAAAAATATTTGTTTTGTTTTTAATACGTTAAAAACCATATATAAACATTATTAATGATAGCTGACTTTCTTCACATTTTAAGATTATTTTTAAATAAATAAGTATCAAGTTATGTAGAAAGCTTGAAATTGATTTTTGTGTAAAAAATATTATATAAAACTACCTACCATTTTTCAGTTTTTATTGCAAATTTAATCATTTTCACAATTTGTCATACATGTCAAATAAAATAATATAATATTGTTTAATTGGCAATTAAAACAACTGAACTAAAATGTTTATTTTATAATATCAGTCCCATCGCAATATATAATATTACACAGCTACAAACTAGAATGAAGATATACAGGGTGTTTTAAAAAGATATGTCATAAATTCTTCCTCAGATAGATTACCAAAAAATAAGTGGATTTGACTTTGTTTACCTATAACAAAAATTGGCTCCCAACAAAGTTACAGGGTGTTAAAATAACATTCAGAAAAAGGTTTTTTTTTTTGTAAAAAGTTTGCTGTTTGACATTTTTGCCAATGCTGTAGATTTGAAGGCCCAATACTCTAAGAAAAAAAAATTTAAAGCGACCCCTTTAAAAAAGAAACTTGCTGTATCGATCTTAAAATCAAAAAGAACTATGAATTTTTAATTTTTTTTATAGCAAAATGAACTTCAGGTCAGGAGTTATTGTACAAAAATACAAGCCCCTCAACTTTTTTTACAGGGGCCACTTTAAATTTGTTTTGTCCTTATAATATTGGACCTTTAAATCTACAGCACTGGCAAAAATTTCAGAGAAAAAATCGCAACAGCAAACTTTTTACAAAACAAAAATGTTTTTTTGAATGTTAGTTTAACGCCCTGTAACTTTGTTAGGAGCCAGTTTTTGATATAGGTAAATATAGCCAAATTCACTTATTTTTTGTTAATCTATCTGACTTTTCATTTTTGATTTAAGCTTTTTTTTTTATTTCAGCCCCACTTAAACCCCCATTAATAATCAGAATTTTTCAAATTCAATAGGTTTTGTCCCCTTATAGAGCTTGATTTTTTCTTGTTTGTGTGCGTGCGTGCGTGTGTGTGTGCGCGCGTGTGCGTAAGTGTGCATGTGCGTGTGCGTGTGCGTGTGTGTGTGTGTGTGTGTGTGTGTTTGTGTGTGTGTATGTGTGTGTGTGTTTGTGTGTGTGTGTGTGTGTGTTTGTGTGTGTGTGTGTGTGTGTGTTTGTGTGTGTGTGTGTTTGTGTGTGTGTGTGCGCGCGCGTGTGTGTGTGTGTGTGTGTGTGTGTGTGTGTGTTTGTGTGTGTGTGTTTGTGTGTGTGTGTGTGTGTGTGTGTGTGTGTGTGTGTGTGTGTGTGTGTGTGTGTGTGTGTGTGTGTGTGTGTGTGTGTGTGTCCACGATAACTCATGATCGGATACAAAGAAAAACATCAAATTTTAAACTGAAGCTTTATTCCGGCCTGCGGTGAACTGAGTAGATTTTAGGCAGAGTTGAAACATCAAGGAGGGTACTTTATAAGGGGTCATTTATATGTTTTATAAAATACTAGAATAATGTGTAATACATTCCCCTGTAGTTATTTTGTCAGTAAGTTATAAGCGCTGGACTAGCTTTAGACGAAACCTGGCCCATAAACTAATATTTTGGAAACGACAGGTGTAATAAATGTTTCTCATATTGTATTAAATTGGGATTAATATGTAATAAACTCTCAGGTAGTTAGTTTGTCGGTGTTGTATAAGTGCTGGCCAGCTTTAGATAAAACCTGGCCCATAACCTAATATTTTGGAAACGGCAGGTGTAATAAATATTTCTCCTATTTTAATATATTGTAATTAACGTGTAATAAATTCACCTGTAGTTATTTTGTCATTAGGTTATAAGCGCTGGATCAGCTTTAGACGAAACTTGGACCATAACCAAATATTTAGGAAACGGCAGGTGTAATAAATGTTTCTTCTATTATAATAAATTGTAATTATTATGTAATAAATTCCCATGTAATTATTTTGTCGGTGTTGTAT